GACCTTCAGGCAGGGAGGGCTGGATGGGGGCGGGGGGTGTTTCCTGACCCCCTGTGCCAGGATGGGACCGAGGGCTGGTTCTTCTTGGCCTCCGAGGCTCGAGGCTGGGACTGGTCTTAGGGTGTCTGTGTCTTGATAGACATAACACCCTTGGCTTCTCTCCTCAGCACGGCGGCCCCTCCCTGCCTGTCTGGTCTCACCCCTATGAGCCCCAATTCCCAAGGGGGCTCCAGCCCTCACCAGGGCCCATGCTGACCCCCTAAGTTGTGTGAGCAGCTGCAACCACTACAAGGCCATGTCCCAGTCGGCGGCTCCAGCCCGGTCACTGCATGAATCGCTCTGGTCAAACCCTTCCAGCTCACCAGGGCACTGATGGTCTGTGACCTGCTGGGGCATGCACGCCCATGGCACAACCCCAGAGTCCCAGGTCTCCATCTGTGTGGGTGAGCAGCCACTGATCCATGGTCTTCCTACCAGTCCCCGGTGGGGCCTGGGAGGTCTTGTCCCACAGTCTGTACCTGCCAAGCCTGCGCCAGAAGAGTCCGTCCAGAGCTCCTAGTGGCGGCCTCACCCTCTCCCGCCTCACCCTCTCCAACTTTCTGAACTGATCCGCTGGAAACTAATAAAGCAAGGAGATCCAGCAGGCCGCCGTGTCCATGACTGGGTCTGTCTCCACCTTTTAAAAAAAAGTGCAGTGTGCATAGGAATTTGTTCATAGTTTTTTTTTTAAACTACAGTCTGGCCCTCCAATAGTCTGAGGGCCAGGGAACTGGCCCACTGTTTTAAAAGTTTGAGGACCTCTACCTTAATGATTTCCTCATCTCTTCTGGCTGCAGGGTGACTTGGTAGACTCCATTTTGTTAATAACAACAAGTAGCTCTTTCACACCCAGTGTGTAAGGCAGAAGGGCATGCTCATGGGTCTGCCCATTCTTGAAGAGATACCAGCTTCAATTCACCAACAGCAGCAACAACAAGGAAGACAGCCAGTCAGCTTGTGATGTTCCTGCAATCGTGTTTTTCATAAAGTCTCTATGTCCGGGGGCATCGATGATGGACACATATTACTTGCTGGTCTCAAATTTCCGCACGGAGATATCGATGGTGATGCCATGCTCACACCCAGCTTTCAGTTTTTCCAAGACCCAGGCAGACTTGAAGGAGCCCTTCCCCATCTCAGCAGCTTCCTTCTCGAATTTTTCAATGGTTCTTTTGTCAATCCCACGGTATTTGCAGTGCAGGGACCAGCTGTGGTGGATTCTCAGAATCGACATGTCCAATGACAAAGATGCAGGTATTAGTCTTTTCCTTTCTCATTTTGGCTTACGTTTCTGCAATGGTTGTCACCAAGCCCTGTACTCTGGCGTCAACCCCATGTGGGGAAGAAAAAAGAAAAACAAGCTCCAGTGTTCTTTCTAAGGCTTGTTATTGAGAAGAGTGAAAGCAAAATCTCCAGTCTGTAACATTACGACATGTGGCTCTCCTACTGTTGAAAGTCTTCCTTCTCATTTGGAAGAATTAGCAGCTGCTCCAGAAGGACCTGGGTCATGTTTGGACTAAAACCAAAAACTGAACCCATTGTTATTAAATTGATTCCAACTCGTAACGATGCCATAGAGGGTTTCTGACGCTGTAATTCTTCATGGGAGCATATAGTCTGAGCTTTCTTCCAAGGAGTGGCTGGCTGGCTCAGGGGTTTGAACTGTCACCTGTGGTTAGCAATCCAACAGACCCAGGTTTAAAAGCCATTCTACCACAGGCAGCATCAGGTTCTCTAGGTAAAATCCCATACAACACCGGAGTTTGTAGATGTGGCACACATAATTGGCCCTTTACTTGATTGATTCACCAACCTCCAGATTAATAATACTTAATAATTACATTCTGCCTTCCCCCTTTGCACTGTTCCTTCATAGTTACTTCATATTCATTAACGTTATATGAAAAGTACAAGACAAGTGACATCTCATATTACCAATGTAAGAAACTAAGACACAGAGAGAATAAAGGACTTAAAATTCACCCAATCAACTTAACAAATACAAAGTTTAAAAAGAAAAATCAAGCTTTTAAGTAACCATACCACTTCTATTTGTACTTACCTACACTGAACTCTATGTAAGAGTGTTAGGTAGCTAGCATAGGGACTGGGGCGTCTATTACATATTCGCAGAGGTTTGAGCTTCTGGCCAAGGGGTGGTGCACCTAGGTGGGCCTTACACCTGGATTGGCCCATCTAAGCCAGGTGAATTTGATTCAGCCAATGGGGTCAACCAGTATTGTAGACCACACCTCCCAATGAGGCCCCTGAAAAGGCCAGAGGTTTTGCTCTGGGTTCTCTTTTTTCCCAGAGACTGCTACAACATGTAGCACAGCCGGGCTGGGGTCCATCCCGCAACTGTGCCGCAGACTCTGCCTGGCTTGTGTTCCATTTACTGTAGAACCTGAAACTGTTTCTATTCTCTATAAACTCACTTGGATCACAAACCAGGCTTCCGCGTGAATTTTCACACGGAGCCAAGGACCGAGGTATATCTCTCCCCTGAGAAATCTCACAGATGACACCATAGAAGACACAAATGTGTTAGATGTAAGCTTCAGACATTCTGAAAACACGGCATCCTCTCTTTGGGGGAAAAGGCATGTAAGCCATCCTATACTGTAACAAGCTTCTGACATAATAGAAACACTTTGGGATGCTGCTGTCGGGTGCCACTGAGTCAGTTCTGACTCACAGTGACCTGATGGACAGCAGAGCAACACACCACCAGGCAATGGGCCACCCTCACAATTGCAGATGTAGAAATAAGCAAAAACAGCTGGAACATTCTGCTTACAGCAATATTCCTTGTTGCATCGAGGTATCGCGTTGTCTTTGTTTCAGTTCTTTGAAAAGGGATGCTGTAGTGCTCAGTTGCTACTGAGTAGACTCCAAAATGGGTTGTCAATACTTGTATCAGATGGTTGTGCTGAAAACTGAGTTAATAATATGCATCAATACATACAGTTGTACAAACCAAAGCAAAACTGAAGTGACTGCCATCAAGTCAGTTCTGACTCCTAGAGACCCTATATAGAGGAGGCAAGATTGTAAATCCCTACAGGATCAGATTTCATTTTCCTCCCATGAAGGGCTGGTGCGTTTGAGCCAACGAAAGTCACTGTGGCAAGGTGCTGTTGGGTTGGTTCAGGCTCATAGCCACACTACGTATGACAGAAGAAAACCCTGCCCTGCCCAGTCTGGCTCCATCCTCATCACCTTTCCTGTCTGAACCCATCATTAGCGTCCCTGTGTCAGTCCCCCTCCTTGAGGGTCTTCCTCCTTTCCATAACCCTCTACTTCTCCAAGGGCTGATGGTCCTTCCTGATAACATGCCCAAGAACGAGACAGAGGCCAACCACCCTTCCTTCTAAGGAGCACTCTGGCTGGACTTCAACAACAGTCTGGCAGGTCATCTTCTTCAACAAATGCCTAATTCATTCATTGTCTTCCTTATTCACTTCCATCTTTCACCGACACATGAGGCAACTGACAATACCACAGCTCGGGTCAGGTGCACCTTCGTCCTCCAAGTGTCATGGTTGCACATCAACACTTTCAAGAACCCTTTTGAAGTAGCTCTGCCTAATGTGATACGTCGTTTGATTGCTTGACTGCTACCTCCATTAGTAAGTGTTAGCAATATACAATGTACATTTTGCAGCTCTAAAAATTCATCAGAATGAAGAATTTCACATTCTTCTTGAGTTTACTTAAGTTGTGACACTCAGGAATGCATTTCAGAGAATACCACAACTGAAATTGGGATGTGAAGCATCTAGGTTTATTTCTACCCATGAAATTTAAAACGCTATTGCCAGAAATGTGCTTACATCTAAAGAGGCCAGGTTACCAAAGACATTTTCTCCTTACGATCAGATAGACTACACTCCCACTGGCCAGTCAGGTTTAGCAACCTTCACAATGACAGCCACGATACCACCCACTACCAAAAGCTATACCATAGCAATAGCAAACTGGACTCAGAATTTGTTTTTGTTTCAATCATCCCGGAAATAACAAATCTTATTCTTCTTATTTCAGCTAAACTAAATAGGACATGGGGGGTTGGGGAGTTTATGACTAAACTGACGAGAAAATTGTAGTACAGTGCCTGGAAATAGTACTAAGAAGAAGGGGTAAATCAGCCTTGCGTTCTCTTCCCAATATGATGATTATTCAATAAACAGTTCTGCCTGCTTCTGCGATTGGTTTGTTAAGGATGATAGATGGAAAAAAAGTTTTGTCACTTTCTGGAAAGGGTTTACCCTTTTAACGTGGAACGTCCCATTTAGGCAACACAGTATTTTAACTTGGGTCAGATCCAGACAATGGAGATGACCATCCTGAAAAACAGGCGGAGTTTGTAAAGGGCAAGTTAAGACGGAAAAGATCATCAGTATGATTTTATTCGCTTTGGGACCTGAGCGATTTCATAAAGATGATCACTATCCCTCACACACACTGCCATCAAGTCAATGCTGACTCACATCGACTCCCTGTGGGTTACCAAGACTCTTAACCATTTACAGGAGTAGAAAAGAAAGCCCAGCCTTTCTCCGGAGGAGCGGCTGGTGGTTTTCCAACTGCCTGCCTTGCTGATGGCAGCCCAACGCGTAACCACTACACCACCAGGGCTCCATCATCGGCCTCCTCCCTTTCACCTGGCTTAACTTTAGGGGTCCCGTTCCCACACATTCTGTATCCTCTAAGACCGTCCCTAGAAGAATGAAAAACTAAGCAAGGGGGCAAAATAGCAGGAACCCATCTGCCTCTTTCGAGAGAAACGAACAGCCTCGCTAAAAGTAAAGCCGCGACAAGTTGGGAGACTAGCAGGCAGAGCCCACCGGTGCCCCGCCTGCGGGCCGCGCACCCGGCCGCACGCACCTCCCGGGCGCCGCCTGCAGACCCAGCTCCACGCCGGGGTGGGGCGCCCCGGAGACTCCCCCGGGACCACTCACCTTTCTGGGCGCGGGCGTCCTCGAGCAGCAGGAGGAGGATGAACAGGAGCAGGAGGAGCAGGGGCATGGAGGAGGAGGAGGAGGGGTTGGAGCGGGAGCTGGGGAGGAAGAGCGCAGCCCGGGCGGGGGCGGCGGCCGCGGCCCGGAC